CCACATACATTAGACATAGCCGAGTGCCAACCCATTCAACTTTTCTTAGGAAAAAGAAGGTGGGGGAATACATGCCCTTCTAAGGAATACCAAGGCCTTTTCTGACATTGCTGTTCTAGAACATTAGTATATTCTGTTTAATTTATTTGTTTTAAACATTGTCATACTGTGCTTCCATTTAAACTTTCCAGGGTGATTTACAATAAGCTTTAAAGTGGTGCAACAGGTACTTGTCAAATTGTGGATCAATAGGAAAGGTGATGAGTTCAGCTCTTGTGTTAAAATTGCTCTTTGGCCCAGAGCTGCTCGTGATACAGGATAAAGAGAACTGTTTGAACTGGAGGCATACATGAAAGCAAGAATTAGTCTCTGAATAGTACAGAAAGTGTTGGGTAGCGGGGTGGCATTTTGTTCTGACTACAGCCTGCAAAATGTCATGAATCATCTCTCACCTTTCCCGTACAGTACAGAACGTGAAGTGTGGTCTGTGTCCATGTCCTCCCCACCACAAACAAAATAATTGCTAGCTGATTATTTTCAAAATGTTTGCTTGAGACCTTATTGCATTTATTTCTGTCATTCCAGCAAATAGTAACAACCATTTTAAATCTGAATTCTGTGTCCATGATGTGTTTGAGGAGAGGGCCATCAACTCTGGATAACTTTTTCTGTTGGCTCAGCTGACGAAGTCTGTTACTACCAAGTCTGGCATTATCCAACATTATCTGAATGCTGCACTCTGACACAGGAAGTATGGGCCTTCTGTCATTTCCTTTCTTGGGATATTTTTCCTTTTACAATAATAATGAATTTACCATAAACTTTGACTCTAGAAATGCTTGATGGACATACAGAGGAGAAGACTACGAGCATTTTTATTGCTTAATGTGGGTTATTCAAGTAGAAAGAAAAAAAGCTAAAGTGAAAGAATTCCCTTTTGTGTTCCTTTAATGATTTTCTAAATGAAATATATACATTTCAAAAATCGCTACACATATATATCTAAAAATCATTACTTTTAATCCATAAGTGCCGGTGTGTATTTAAAGAAAACAAAATAAATGTAGAACAGCAGAAACACGAGGCTTTTAAAACAGCTGCAGGGCATAAGCAGTAACTGCTCTTCACTAGGCACCATAGCAAACATCTAATAGTTCGTTTGCTTATAAAGTGCAGATTAAAAACATAGTTGTTTAGCTTTTTTCTTAAAAAGAAACAACCAGAAATATAACTGTCCCATATAGCTAGAGGCCACTAAGTCTCTCAAAACACTGCAGTCTTAACACTGCAACTATTACACAATTCTATGAAATTATCAAATAGCATTTTCACACATTACTCTTATGCATGTTTATTCAGATGTAAGTCTGTCATAGGGCCTTACTCCCATGTTAAGGTGCCCCAGCTTGCCATTTTGGATAGATTGTACTTTGTCATTAATATCCTTTTTTTTGCCCTACTGTAATTTATATGGATCTATTAAATTGGCCTTCCCAAATCAATTCTCATATCAGTTTTATTTAATATGTTGATTTTAGTCAATATTAATCACTGCTGGTTTTAATTTCTTTAGACTTGCCCAAAGCATATGGAAATGGGATGGTGTATGTATATTAAAATAAATAATAAATAGAAATTGCTTGTTTTGATGATGAAGTAAAATTCAGTGCCCTAAATTTAGGAATGGGAATATAGGATACCTTCCATATTTTGATGCCTGTCTGATCATGGTTTATATATTAGCATCAGATGTAACCCATAAAGTTCCAGAGTACGACTATATGGACTGATGCTAAAATAATGGCCAAACCAGTGTCATGGCTACATTAATATCAGTAGTGCTGGTGGTGATTCACTGTTCTTGCTTTAAAGGTACTGGCACTGAAGGACACATATCACAAGGGCCTGGCGTAATTCAGTTGTTATCATCAAGGCTTTCTTAGGTGATTCATTTTCCATTCCTCCAGCTCAAATCGTAAAAAAGAAAGAGGGTCCACTTTCTTTGGAAATGGAGCTGCAGGACTGTGAAATACATGGCGCCAGAAAACATTGAAGGTAGCAACTGAATTACAAGCAAGCCACTCCTATAAACTGTCATGAGTGAAAAGAAGACTTTCCTTTCTTACAGGCACTTAGGATATAAGTTGGTGTCACAGCATGAAGTATTCTTTTGTTATGTTAGCTTGTATCCATGATTTTCAGGGATGTTTGGAATTCTTCTCCAAGCAGAGAAAGTGACATTCTTTCCTGCTCTTTCTTCCCTCAAGTAATTATATACACTTTATGTAAATGACAACGTCTTTATCTTAATAAAATAAGATAAGGAAATAGGAGGTTTAATATTGTCAAAATGTTGCAAATAAAACTTATCTATCCATATACATATTTGACTGCTTTCGACTCTTTGTACATATTTTAATGCTATATTCTATTTTATTCTGCTTCTTACTGCATCTATAAATACAGTAAGAACAGATGTGGAAGAGGAATGTGATGGTAAAGTTGATGATGCATGTATGCAAGTGACATATTTTGTTTGTTTGCTATCATTCCTGCAAAACTTCAGGCAGACGTGCAGATGAATTACCCTCAAGGATCACCAACATCAGTACAAGCAAACAACACTGAGATCAATGCAACTATTCCTGTACACAACATTAAAACAGGCTATTCTGTTAATACTTAGTGATAGAACAGAGGCATTCTCATTGCCATATGTTGCTGGGAAGCATTGACCTCTTAAATTTTACCTTTGTTAAGAGATCAAGTTTTATATATGTGCCATGACCTTTTATGCTCAACCAAGATCTTCTCTTAGGTATCCTATGCACTAATATGGAACTCATTCTTTGAAAATCAGGACTGATGAGCCAGAATAGCCCTATTCATATACAAGACAGAGAAATGAGAATGCTTTTGGGAATCCCAAAGCCTGCAGAAGCATAAGGACTTTAGAAGAGGAGAAAAACCAGGGAGCCTGCACATCCCAGTGAGGACTGGGCATGCAGAATAGCTGCAGAATGTTATGTCTACTGAGAGAAAAATAAATGGAAAACCAGATGCAGGCCAATGGAATAGAGTATCCAGGAAAAAGTTATGGATGGGTCATTAGAACTGTGAACAGGCTCACTCCAGACTGCAATATTTTGCTGCGGGTCTGAATTGCAAAACCTGTGCATCAGATCAGGTCCAAGAGAAGGTGCAATGTTAGTGGCTACCACTCATGTCTGGAATTCTCTTCCCTAAAGACTTGCTAAAGCCTAAACCACTGGGTATGCTGAAAATGCCATTAAAACCTGGTGGCCATACATAAAATACAATATATCACCATCTTCTCTGAATACTTTGCATGAGGAGGGATAGGCTTAAATTCAGTGAAATAAATGTGTTGATCATGCCCTTATTTCCTGCCCTAAAGATAATGCACAATACATCTTCCCTCCTCCCACCCTTAATTTAAGTCTTTTGTCGATATATGTGCACAGCAAGCCAATATAGTATTGTGTTATCCCTTTCAAGCTTTCAAATCACTTTCTGACATGGGAATTAAATTGCAGAAGTCAGTCATTTGAGCGTTTACAGATGTTAGCAAGATAAGGGTTGTAATGAAGCCTGTCTATGTAGCATAATGTAGTGCCTCCAAATGTACTGCCGATATTTCCACTTTATCTTGAACTGCTATGAACTGGATTTTCATATACTTACTAATAATGTAAAAGTGGCTCTCACTAAATAATTAAAGTAAAAAGAGGAAAAGCCATAGATCCATCCTGGGTAACAGATGATGGTAATATTCTAACAACCAACTGAAATGTTTCAAATCACATTCTCCTATTGAGGTGTTTAAGATCAGATTCTAAACTCAAAAGATAGATAGTGCTGAAAGATACAAAACACTTTGTTTAGTGGCTCTTCACATGTACACAGGAAAGGGAAGGGAAGGGAAGGGAAGGGACGGGACGGGACGGGACGGGACGGGACGGGACGGGACGGGACGGGAATCTTGTCTTGGACCTGCTCAGAAAAAGAAGACAACATGTAGTATAAAGAAGCGAACCTGAGAGGGTGCATAGGTCCACACCTTGCATACAGAAGGTTCTTTCTCTCTAGTGGCAGGGCTGAGACAGACCTTGTATGGCACTCCAGTGAACTGTAGTCAGTTGAAATAGACTGATAATAGGTGAGATGGCTCAAATGGATTCTTGTGAAAGCTTCGTAGATTCAGTGGTGCCCATCCCCCCATAAGCATGTGGGAAAATACAGACCTCAATTGAAGCAAGAGCACACTAAGCCTTCCATAATTTAGAAGTTTGGACCTGGTGTATATGAAGTAGTTTCTTGGCCCATCTAAGTTTCTTCTGCAAGCATCACTAAATGAAGGAGGAGTCCAGTGCCATAGTTTAGGACATTATGCGGGGCAGCAGAGGCACCAGGTCTGCTCCACCTGCACTGCCACATGTCCGTCGCTTTGCAATGACAGCATCTGTGGCTTCTGCTATCCTGTTGTCTACCTGGTGCATCTATGTGGTGCTGAAAAACCAGTCTCGGCATCTTCGCCACTACCAAGGCTGGCCCAGTCACGCAGCAAGTGCGCTGGCTCTCTTCCAGAAGTACTACAAGGAACAGGGATAAATGAATGCAGAACTGATACCTGGCAGCAATGGCTAAATCATGTTTTTCCCCAGTTTCTCATTATTCTAGTTCACACTTAACTTTGAGAACAGTTCAAAGTTATGGAATGAAAATTTGTAGGGATTTTGTGTACATTTATTCTAATATCTGCTTTTTGTATGCAATTTTGCCATATATTGATTAGTTACTTCTATGCAGTAAAAAAGAAAATAAAACACATAGTGAAAATACAATAAATCAACAAAATAAAAATTAGAAACCTTATGTAAGATTTATTTATTATTATTATTATTATTATTATTATTATTATTATTATTATTATTATAACATTTCTATGCCGCCCCTTGCCGAAACCTCGGGGCGGCTTACAACACAATAAAATACAATGAAATACAATAGCACATAATAAATTACCATTAAATACAAAATACAAAAAATACATTGATTTACAAATATAAGATTAAAATTATCTGTATAAATTAAGTAAATAAAAATATAGGAGGAGAAAGCGAAGGAAGAAGAAGTTAGTGTTATAAACTCCTGTGTAAGATTTTGCTTATTAAATTTATATTCCACTTTTTTTCCTATGAAGAACTCAAAGAAGCTCACGTCGTCCTCCTGCTTTCACTCTTATCCCCACAAAACAACCTTGTGAGGTAGGTTGAGCTGAGAGCCTGTGACTGGTCCAAAGTCATCCAGTTGGCCCTGTGGCTAGTGGAGACTAGAACCCAGATCGTCTGAGTCCCAGACTCATGCTCTTCACCACTGCACCACATTGACTTTCCAGTGCGTTCATGTCTTTGTTATTTACGGGTTAAGATGGAACCAGCACTGGCAGAATTGGAACATGAACAGCCTCAGCCTTCTACAATACTTTGGTGGTAAAAAAATGAATAAGAGGCTTTGATTTTGTCAGAGATGAATGAGGGATGTGTTCCAGTCCTACTTCCTATTCTGGGTCAAGTTGGGGTCATTTTAATCCAGGACCATTTCCTACCTTATTAGTTGGATCACTACCAGTAATATCAGTTTCCTGAGGAAAAAATAGAATGGAAAAAATGTCCAAGACCCTAAATCAGTTTAGGTTTAACTTGCAAAGCTATAACTGTATATGTAATATCAATATATCTGAACAGTTTTTCCAACAGTCCAAAATAGTACAACTGAAATATTTGATTACAGGAATGAAAATAAAGTGCACTTGGGCTGCAAATATTTATAAAACTATCCAGAAATATGTCCCATTGACTTTAATGATGATTGCTTTGGGGTACAGGGGTGTAGTATTGTTGTAAATATTACATTTAGATAAACTTAAAGCTTTACTTGAAAATTAATTGAATTGAATATTTCAAACAGTGCAGCTCAATAACTCAATATTTAGCTATGAAGAGAAAAATATGAAAGCATGAAAATATTGACAGAGGTGTCTGTTTCATGCCTGAAGACTAAAGATGGACAAACAGTGACATTTGGGATTTCCAGGATTCTCAAGCATTCTCTTGCCACTACTCTCTCTCCCAATTGCTGTTGGTGTTTATAATCTTTACAAATGCTAGTTTCACTATTTATATGAATGTTCTTTGGTACTTCAACATTCCTTGGATATCTTTTCTCAACTGGAACTTCCAATTTTGCTTTGAAATTTGGCTTTAGACGCAATTAAGAGGCAGTTCTGTAGAAGTTGCTTTTAACAAATTTGTAAACTTGTGGATTCTTTAAATGTAACATAAGTTTTGGGCCAGCTAAATCCAATTTTCCGTCCTTATACACCTGTGCAGAGTACATGATCCATATGAAGTGGGTTTCAATCTTTCCTTAAAAGCATTGTAATTAGGATGGGATTGTTTGATTATATAATTTCTAGTATTTTTTAATATGACTGCATAAAATATAATAGCTTTTTCTTCCTGCTCCATCCCTACATGAACAAGATATCCATTTAACAGCCCTCACTTGTAACAACTGCAATGAAACCATATGGAAGGAATAAACAAGTGCTGCTCTTGAGTTCCCCAGTGACCCATTCGCATCAGCCTTTCTTTCTAAATGACATGGGATAAAATTCAGATGCTTGGAATGTATCAGCAAAGGAAGAGAGGAAGAGGCATTTATAAAATACATAAGCATAAGAATGGTTATTATAGCACCCTATAGCTGCCGTTCACATTGTATTGCAACTGTGTAGGCTAGTGGTAACCTCATTCTGTTTCTTAGACCAAGAGTGTTGAGAATGCAGTTCACACGGCATACTTTGGCACTAATCTCCAACTCTCTGTCCTAACGCAACTCTGGGTACAGATACAACCAGCAAGCACAACATTTGGGGAAAAGGTTAGTGGTAATATATAGTTCTCCACTCTAAAGATTTAACATGTACACACACTAGAGTTAAGGTGGTTATTTTGAAGATGTCGAGACTTCATTTTATTATTTGAAATGCATAACTTTTCCACTGCCATGTCTCAGTATAGAACATCTTCCCAAGGCCTGCTGTGGGAAAGTGATCAGAAGAATTAAGGACCTGATGATGGAAACCTGAAATATGCTTCCACATTCCTTCACTTAAGCCTAAACAGGCTTTTTACTGGATTGCAAATCTTTATTTTTATTTGTTCCAATTGATGCCTGTAGGGTCCATCATTATAATTATATATCATGATATCAGTATTTTTTGTATTTTTGCATTTAGTGGTAATTTATTATGTTCTATTGTATTTCAATGTATTAGAAATGTAATAATAATAATAATAATAATAATAATAATAATAATAATAATAATAATATAACTACATTGCGGAAGTGTGCATTTTGAAGGATAATGATTCTGATCTTCACATTACTTTGGAAAGTAAGAATCAGGTCAGCTCACCTTGAAACAAGGCCAAATAAATTCCTTGACGAGCCCTGGCTACATCGAACTCTACCACATGGTACGATGCACCCGAACATTTACCAGTCTACAGAAGTTTGCTTTAGTTTGGCATAGGTGACTGTGAAAGGAAGTGGGTGATAAGCAAGTCCTACTCCATTAACAGCACTCTGTTCTGCTCATAGGATGGAAGTCAGGATGCAAGTCATTGTTATTTCAATTTTAGAAAGAGCTGAAATGCTTCCTTTGCTATCTCTTTCATATGGAACTGTCTCCCAGAATGTCTGCAGGATACAATTTCTCTAATCTTAATTCCTTCAAACTCTCCTCAAAATGAGCCTTTCCAATAAAACCCTTTGTGTCTAGGGATACCTTCCAATTCCACTCTCCAGAGTGATTGGGGTGCCTTCTTCTGCTTTCCTGCTACTAAGAATGGAGTAAGGCCTGACTTGACTGGTGGGAACTCTAACAAGATATATGCCTCTTTAATGAGCTGCATTGCAGGGACCCAAGAAAGCAGGAGGAAGAGCAATAGGACATATTGTAAATACCCCTCAAGTCCACTAACATCTCTACAGTACTGTACTCTGGAATTTTGGTTGCATAAGTATTTTGTAAGTCTCTGCCGTCATTAATTGCCATATAGAAATGATCCTATGAAGCTGAAGCTCAGCATTCAGTTGCTACACTTGGGATTTGTCTGAGCTGGTACTCCCGTATAGCACATCTCCAAGCCACGTTTCCCTTGAGAGATGCAAGAACTGTTGCATATGCATTTGTCTTGAGTGTGAGTGTACTTCCTCCATTTCCTGTACTAATCGATGCTTGGATACCCTCTGACCACTTTATTATGGCCATAAGTCCAACTTTCTGGTGAGCGCACCAAACGTTTGTGTGGCACTTGTGTGGAGCTGAGCCCCAACAACAGCTGTGCAAGCTGTGTCCTCTCTTGTGTACATGACTTGCAGCCTTGTTTGTGTCGCATGTGAAATGAAAGAAGGTCGCAAGCTGTGCCACTGGAATTCTGTGAACATCGGTGAACTTCTTCTTGTATCAGCTTTCTTTCTAAGACAGCACTGAGCACAAGTCACTTCCACTGACTTGAGGAAGTCCATAAAGTGTAGTGGGGTGAATTTTGGGGAACTTCAGTAGAACACTACTTTTGATCATTGACCCTTCATGCTTAGCAACTTCCAGGCCCTATTTAGATGCTTGTCTCTTCACCTGCTCGGTATCTCACAAACTGAACCATATACAAGAAGAATAACCCTCTGTGTAACACATCCACCTAACTCCACCCTCCACAAAGTCGCCATTTGGGCAGGATGCTGCACTAATACACCAAAATATGCAGAGACTTCCTTTTATCCTCTTTCCTTGTCCAGGTTATAGGGAGTTTATGCGCATTTGGATAAGTATGTGTGGGCTCGTGCACAAACGTCAGACTGAATGCATGACAAGCCCACGCATTGCTTGTTACACAGCAAGACTGACCGCACAAGATTAATCATAATGAGTGGGAACCCAACTGAGTTACCATGACTGCTTTGTCCCACTGAGATCAGTGGGACTCTAATTTAACCAGCCTTCTTTGGATATAAGACAGTGTTGCGATCTGAGCCAAAAGGCAGATCATTGTAAAAGTTTTCCACTGCTTCTCGTCTGAGCAAAAGTGCATGGCATTTAAGGCCATTTACTAAGTAAGATCATGAGACTCCAACCATCATTTCAGGTCCAGAAGATTCCAGAATGTCAAGGTATCTACTTTTTGCCTACCAGACCATCTTGTAATTATGAAACGGATGCCTCTTTCAATGAATCATCAAAGAAGAATGAAAACAAGCAAAGTAAAGTAAATGACAGGAGGCAGGGCAGATGTTGATGCCAAGCTGGTCATGGTCTTCGTCCTGAAGCAGCAGGGAAAGCCACCCTTGTAGCTTCTTGAACTTTGACCAGAACTTTGGCATCTGCTGCCTAGAAAGAGATCTACAGTTACTTATTAAAAGTAGTGAAGGAGAATTCTATGCTTTTACTGTGGACAATAGAGAAATTACATAGACACATTGCGTTATGAGCACTATTAAGATGAGCCTGAATGAAGCCGTTATCCTTTATTAGACTCCATAACAGTAATTAAGTAATAGTTTTTGAAGTTTAAATAGTTTTAGAGTTTATTAGCATGTTCCTAAACCAATTAATATCATGTTGTATTTCTTGTACAAATATGGTCTCTTGCTGCACACACATCAAATACAGAATTACTTTACATTTAGTAATGCACACATATTATATTACAGCTACTAATAGCCAACCATACTACTATTATTACTATTGCCATTTAGCATTTATTTAGTGCCGGAATTGTGCAAGAGGCTGTAAGCGATGCAGTTCCTCTCCAGGGGGCTTTCAATCTACCCTAGATTGATCATACAAAATGGCCAGTTTCTTTTACAGTTAAAAACAGGCAAACAGCTTGAACTGCAAGACAGATTAGTGCATTCTCAGTTCAAGGGTAACTATTATCATTAAGCCTATGCTTATAATGTATTGTTACTCTACCCCTAACTCTGCAGATAGGGTGAGAACAAGACAGTAGGGAGCAGGAGCAGGAGTCCTTCTTATATGTCAGGAACTAGGCTTTCATTTCAGATTTTG